CCCCCCCCCCAAAAAAAAAAAAAAAAAAAAATTGCACCGCAATATCCAAGCTATCTTAAAATGCTAAAGAAATTAGGAACAAATTTGAATTAGCCCATTTAAAATTCAACAATGAATTGTATCAATATGCATTCCCATCGAGAACCAGCTTATTAATAAGGGAGTAAGAAAATAAAAAAGAGTTTCACAAAACTACAATATGCTCTAAATCTAGCAAACAGTATAGCTTCCTCAATTAGGAAAATGTGAATCCTATCAGAACACCGCACACTGTGCGGAGCGTTCTGAACCATTGAGATCTTATGTAGTGTTGCACAAATGGCTTATTTAGGCTTATAAGCCACCAAAGAATAAGCTATGGGCATCCTAGCTTATTGTTTGGTGGCTTATAAACCACAAGGTTTGACCAAGTAATAGTCCATTGTACCCTCCACACTTCACAAAATCCCAAGCCACATTTATCTCTCACCAATCTCATTAAATATTTTTTGGGCCATTTTGACAATAATGATGGCTCATAAGCCACCCCGTTTGCCAAACACTATTATTGAAAATGGATTATAATCCACTAAATTTACGAAACACATTTTCTTATAATCGACTTGCTTATGATCCACAAATTGATTATAAGCCAAATGGACAATAAATACAAAGTTGCCCCCCCACCAAAAAAAAAAATTGCACCGCAATATCCAAGCTATCTTAAAATGCTAAAGAAATTAGGAACAAATTTGAATTAGCCCATTTAAAATTCAACAATGAATTGTATCAATATGCATTCCCATCGAGAACTAGTCTTATAAAATTATATTTTTATTTTTAGTTAAATAGACACTCAGTCTCCACCCCGCAAAAGGAAAATTTTCAGGATCCACCACTGAGTTGGGGTATTTTACTACCCCCCCATAGAGCACACAGATCTCACCATGCGAAGTGCGTTCTCTTAGAACATGCACTCCAATCAGGAACAACTTGATAACTACAAAGCATCGTGTAAAATTCATTGCACACCTACATTTTTCACCCACTTCTGCACTCATACCTGGGGGACTTTTCGTGGAGTGACATGACTCTGAGTCTCTGACAATTTGAATTATCGACTGACTGGCTTTTTTATCAGGCAACCCAATAGCTACCTGCAAAATCATGTTAATAGGACACCTGCAGTGGTCATTAAATGGAAAAGATTAATATCTACAGCAAGCAGAGAAGCATATTAAAGGGAGTAACCTAATACTGCTGTTGTTATTCATCTTGCAGGGATTATGCAACAACTGCCCTGCCATAATCTTGACTACTCTTTACTCTTTAGCCAGGTGTCACTCCAATACAATGTCTGTCTATCAGGATGAATCTTCAAATGCCAGAAACATTTCCAATTAACCTGAAATTTAATTCTAGAATTTCTTGATAAAGAATGGTAGACAGAAAACAAATAAAAATCGTAGATGCATTTTGATGCAGTATCAGATCCTTGGTAATGAGAAATGAGTATAATGCATCAATATACATATTCAACTATATGTCACATGAGTTACGAAGGCACAGAAAGTGCATAATCAAGTGAAAATAATGTATTGCAACTAGCCTATTCACTTCACTTTTATGTTAGCAACATAGAGCCACTGCATTTCTAGTAATTTTCAGCCACACACCAAAAGTAGAAATACTCAACTTTAAGTTGGCATATTTTTCCTTATTCATAGGAACCAAAAATGATTTCAGACAGAGATGCATCAAAAATAAGTAAATTTGCTATTATGTGATATCGTAGAACGTGAACAAAATAACGCTAACAAGTCCATCCCCATGATCACATAGGCAAAAGAATGTCAAAAGCAATATCCCAATCAACTCATAACATACTGCCAATGCATGACCAAGGATGCTGGCAACTTCTGAGCAGACTTTTGAAAGCTCAGAAGCTCAACATTAATGAGAAAGCAGAATCTAGAAAATGAAAGCATATTCCTGCAAGGTCAGTTAAAAAGACAGCTAAGTTCATTATAGTATAATTAACTTGTGAAATGCTAGTGACATTTGAAGATAATTTCTCAAAAATTGAAGGTTACTTGCAAGTAGGCCCCCCTGCACTATCGCAAAATCGGATGGACCCTGTGGGATGGATCCCCTATAGTTCTATTGGTGCGGATAGAACCCAGAGTGATTTTCTTTAACTCTTCAGGGGTAAATCTGCACTTGAGCAAATAGTATAGAGGGAATCTATCCACAATTAACCCAACACTAAAAGATCAATTAACAATGGAGACATTCAAATGCACAAAGACAAAAAAAGTACAACTATGTTTTATTCCAATAGTCAAATAGCTATCAACTGTTGGCACATGGGTTGCTAACATGGGTACATATGGCCCAGATACGGCATGGATATTGCTCAGGCGACACCTGGATTTGAACTGGGGATAAAGGATTTGCAGTTGCAGTCCCCCGCCTTACCACTTGGCCATGCCGCCAAATTCGATCCATATTCGTATCCACTTACCCATTACAGATACCGTTACGAATATGGATATGCCTCCATAAGGAAAACTCATATTCATATCCGCAAAAATCGAATACGGATACAGATACGCATGCAGGCATTTAAGTGGATATACATGCGTATACAAAACTAATATGAGAAAACTAGATTATATTGAAAAAAATATAGGTCAAATGATACAAGAGATTTCGTTAATGTGTTCTTTATATCTGAAAAGTTAAGATTAGATATCTTGAACATCAAAATTAATCTCAAATCTACTAACCTAAGAATTAAAGCTATTGCAACAATATGACCTACACACACACACATGTGTGTGTGTGTGTATACACGCATACACATACATACATACACACACGTGTGTGTGCGTATATGTATATATATATGTGTGTGTGTGTAGATATATATGTGTATGTGTGTGTGTGTGTATTCGGATATTTTAAGTACAAATCCGAATATTTCACTACATAGCCATATCCGCAACCATATGCTATCAATTATAGATTTTGGCAATCATATTCGTATCCTAATGGACATGGATAAGTATTTCGTGCATCCCTAGATGCTAGTCTTAGACCCTTGCACCTTGGTCAATTTCATATCAAAATTTTCGAACCTGGGTCAAAGAACATAACCAACATGCCATCAGCTTCATCCAAAACAAGATAACTCACTCTCTGTAAGATTTTATCCCAGGCTTCCAATATATCAATCAACTGACTAGCAATTTCAACCCTTACAAGAGTAAAACTTTTCAGGTTGGCCATCTTATCAAAGCAAAGACATGGAAATTGTCACTGGAACTTGGAAAGGACAAATTGGTATAGAGGAACTATCTAAAGAACTCAATATGCAGTCTAGGCTATTTTTAAGATCGTGCGTCTATGGACTTTGGTGTTCATCTACAGATGCACGTATAAGAAAAACTTCTATGCTGCTTCTTGTATCTGAACTGCCAGTTCTATACTAGGTGCTAAGATCAGGACATGAGCGATCGTCATAAGCTGAAATGTTTATGAACCTTAAAAAACGTAGACACTGTTTAACATAAGCAGAAAGAGGAGTGAAACTACAATATATGACTAAGGCTTTACAGGCTTTATTAGCAAAAGTGCAAGGAGCATGTTTTTTTTTGTTGACAAGGGAAACCTGGTCAGCAACTCAATGCCCTCACTTGAGGTCTGGCGGAGACTAGCTGCAAGGGGCTTCTCCTTAATACCAGGGGCCCATCCCCACGTGACTGGGCGAGCAGCGTGTGGACCAAGCTGGACGCAAACCAGACCCCTAACTACCAGGTTGAGTTACTGAACAGAAAAACCCTGGGCCCCAGTCCTCACCTTTATTTCCCAAAGGGGCCAGGTGAATGCGGATACGGGGATCGAACCCCTGACCACCTGGGGAGATCTCCTCTCCCACTCTTCGTGGCGCTAGCCAGAAGTCCCACCCGCGGGTGGTAAGGAGCATGTTGAATAATTTAGAAAAGCAAACTAACAAAATTTTATTTAAAAAATCGAAAATTTGAGAAACTTTTAAGTTAAAAGGGTTAGCTTTTGTGGTTTAAAATTTGTAGGCAATTACAAATACTAAGTTCAAGCATTTCAAACACAAATACAATAATATCTCAATGATATTTAAAAAGCCAGATCTAGAAATTAATAATGTAACGTCCTTATTAATATTTTAGATATTTAATACACTTTGTTACATACAATACAATAATGGAAAATGACAATTATAAGGATCAAAACAAAATCCATGAATGAGAATACATGTGATGTGTTAAATGTAAACATGTGGATACCAAAGAAGACATTGAAGTTTGAAAATGGATGAAATTTTCAAAAATAAAATAAAAAAGGCAACAACCTATTGAAAGTACAACGCACTTGCTAATGATCTTTACTTGTGGATGCAAATTCAAATGTTTATTGTAGTTATAAGTGAATTATAGTCCAATAAATGCTAGAAAGGTCTTAAAGATCAATTGAGTAGAAAACACATTTCCTTAAAGGACTACAAGAAAGAAAAGAAATTTTGAACACTCTTTTCCCATGACCCTCAGGCAAAAACCCTCTTCTTATGATAAAATGGGATTTCTAAGATGGGCTTTAACTACTTTAGTACTATGGTTGAAAAAGAGAAAGAAATGTAATCTACACAACAAGACAAGCTAATTATGTCAACCAATGTTAAAAAAAACATATACTAAGTTATGAAATAGTCAATACTTATAACAAAATACTGGAAATCCTCATAACGGTAAAAGGCATAAACTATAAAGAGGATTACAGGAAATACACTCAGAAGTCTTGTTTGAAAAGATGGATAAGAAAATCTGTATGCTGGCAATTAACTTTAATATTTAATTAGAGGGCACTCTTCAAGATAAGCTAAATATTAAAGATTCTCATTCATATGATGGTTTTTTTTGGAGGATAGAATTTTAATAAATTCCAATGAGAGAAAATAACAGGTTCTCATACATCACGATGGGTTAATTGCATAATGTTTCCGAGGTTTTTTGGATGGAAAAAATTGAAGGTGATTTGAATGACTAGATTAGAATATATGAACAAGGTTTGTATGGGCCATGACAAGCCAAGTAAATAGCGTTTTCTGACATTCCAAAGGAGACGATATTCACATTGAACTTCCATAAGTCTGGGCTGCTGTAAAAGATTTTCAGGAATAAATGGAAAATGTTGGAAAGTGACACATAAGACCATCCGATAGGACAATAAACATGTGCAGCACAAGACAGAGTCGAGAAAAGGACTTTGAGCATTTGAGACAAGATGAAGGCACTGGTTCATGATCTGTGACATGGTTATGAACAAGCAAGGGCCATAAATTTCGAGAGCACAACTAAAAATTTGTTGTCATGCTTCATAACTGCTAGATCACTGCAATTAAGGCACCAAATTCATCACCAAAGTAATTCCCTAAGAAGAAAGAAAATGAGGACATTAAAGAGGACTTCTTTTTTAAACTTACTACATGAACAGTTTAAATAAAACCTTAACAGACTTTGAGTTGAGCATGAAAGCGGTTACTTTCAACGCCTGCGGCCCAGTTGGTTTCTGGTTTAGCTTCTTGCTTTAGCCTTCTAGATTCATAACTTGAAGGACTTCAACAAGGATGATAGTTCTACGATAAATGAAAACCTACAGTAAAAATTAAACAAAACTAAGAAACAGAAGGGAAGAGTAACTAAAGAATATCACATAATTGCTTTGTCCTATCGATATTGTGTACGATAATTCAGTAAATGGAAGAGGGAAAAATTACCAAATGTCAGCCCATAGTCCAATTCTCTCACCACAACCTAGAACATGGATTTCTGTAGGAAAAAAATGTGTTAAAAGAAGGCACAGTAATTAAAAATTATTAGAATAAAAAAAGAATCAAAGCAAAAAATAAAAAAGGGGTTTTTATAGAAAATACCAGGCTGCCTGCTTAGTCCATCTCTTTGCTTGAAGAAATTGACTCCTATTGCTATTACTAGGTTACTTTGTCGATGATATGCTCTCTTTTCAAATACTCAGTTGTTAGAAACCTTCAAGTATTGCCGCATCCTTCTTCTCCTCTTTGTCCAAACATACAGCCTGCTCGTTGCTCCTAAGTCCGCAGCAGTGCACAGTCAGACAACCATCAAACAATCACGTGATCATAATGTCATGTTCCTTCCTTTGTCATAAAACTGACCCCTGGCAATGACGAGGACTGGGCTGAATCTGTTAAGGGTTTAGGTTCGGCACCTAGCTCGGCAGAAAAGCCCCTACTAGCCAAAAAAAATCAACAAAAGGAAAATTAATAGAGAGTTTGTATGGGTATCTATAAACAAATAAATTAAGGATTGAACTAAATTTGCACCTGCAGCGAAGAAACAAAAAATGCTTCAAGAAATGCCTTCCGTCCCAAGTGGAAAACCCGCATTTAATAGCAATCTTTAGGATTGAAGTTGAAATCTAATGCTAGTTGTGTTTATCCAAGTCTGAATATAGGAGCTAACATTAGATAAATTCATATCTTTCACAAATGAAGAAATATATTAGATATGCAATTTAAAGTAAAAAATGTATTTAATTCAAATACAAGGCATGTCCTTGAAATTAGTACAAGAATTGAGTTCTATCATACTCCCAATTTGAAGCAAATTGTCTCTATATAGATATCAATTACAATAAAAAACACAAGCCTCAGCTAGCGGACTAGTATCCCAAATCACTTGATGTGTACATGAAAGACGCTTGGTTAAAGTGCATGCCTGAATGAAAAAGATTCTTTGGCTTCCTCCTAAATCCAAGATCGTTCCTTTGTGCAACAAAGACATACTACTAATCAAGTACACAAAATACTCAATAGAAGAAGAAGAAGAAGAAGAGATGATAAAATAATACGTACAACATACTACTAATCAAGTACACAAAATACTCAATAGAAGAAGAAGAAGAAGAAGAGATGATAAAATAATATGTACAACATGAGAGATATCATTTTCATAGATTCCTTGAGAGTGGCCTCCATGCAGGGTGTATAAACCTAAGGAAATGATATGGTGGGTTCTTAGCAATGAACATGGGAACCAGATTGAGTAAAAACTGTAAATTTAAAATACAAAATCACTTCTGAAACAGTAATACTCCAATGAAAACAAAAAAGATTTTATCATCTCCTTTTTAAATAAGGCAGAGTATCCGAAAATTTTTATTTTTGCTAAAACGACAAATTGTATCTAATTGGGATTTCTTCCCACTGAAAAGTTCACGAAGAATCTAAAAGGTTGACCTATGCAGGTAAAAGACTCAGTGAATGAAATAATGTATTTTACCTTTCTTCAAGGACATTCTCTTGAAAAAGTTTGCACATGATTGCCAGACTGCAAAACAGATTGAGCATGATTGTCAGACTGCAAAACAGACACATGTGAAGAAAAATTATAAATGATCAATCCTCTACTCCACTAAACATGAAAGAACAATTTACTAATAAGTTTTCCTCTTCAATCTTCTCAAAATTCTGAGTCTCTAGTTTATTCTCCACTCCAGGTATAAATGCAGCCTTTCCATTTGCACTTTTAAACAAGGGTGATCCTAGAATTGACATAAATACAATCAACGAGAAGATACTAACATGTGCAGAACTTTAACTCCATAAAATAGCCTGAAAAAATAAAAACCTGTATTGTTAGCACCACTAATCTCTAAGAATCAATCAACAAGAATGCCAAAGTTAACTTTTGAAAGAAAGAAATTAATAATTGCAAGAAAGTAATTAATAAAGGAAACAATGATAAAGATACCAAATGTCACCCACAATCGGATTTTACCGGACAATACAAATGGTATTTTCATCTTTGTCCTCAATCACTCCATGAAGAAAGAAACAACCTGCATCAAAGAGGGCAACAACAAACTCACAGACTAAATCACCCATAGCAAAGGTATGTCAATATAAAGCCAAATTATAATAAAATCAGTAGAAAAAAATAGAACAATGAATAAAGAAAAATAAAAGTGGTACCAAAATGCTCTGTCATGGCCCCGACCTGCTACCTTTACTAACCAACTTGTCAAAGAAAGAGCTATTTGCTTAAATCTTCCAGGCCTAAAATCATAAGAATCCATATACATTGAGATTCTTATTGATAAAAAAAACAGCCAAAGGCATAGAGAGAGAGAGAGAGAGAGAAACCGACCTTTGTGAAAGTATCCAATTTCTTCTCGATCGATAATCGATCCTTTAGAAATAAAAATAAATAAATAAAGTTTGTCAGAAAAAAAACCCTCATTGCCTTAGAAATCTACTTCTTTATTACTAAAGGAGAACAATAAAAAAATTAAAATGAACAGTAACCTAAGGGTCTGATTGATGGAAAAAATAAAATGAATAACCAACTAACAAAATAAAAAAACTCCCACGTTCTCTAATAAAAACTGCCAAAAAAACTCTCATGTTCTCCTAAAAAAAACTCACACGTCTTCTCTCGCCTTCCCCCAAAACCGAAACCCTAAAGCCAGCCTCTCCTCTCCCCTTTCTTCTTCCAAATTCTTCCCAAGAAAAATTCTAACTTTTCAATGCCCTTATCTTCTCAATTCTCGCGGAGATCCAGAGTTTTCTGCCCTAAATTGTTAAAGATTCGACGATCCATGACGGAAGAGGAGCCTATCTCAAGCAGAGGGGTTTCTGCCCTAAGTCGTCAAAGATTCGATGATCCATGGCGGAAACCTTCTTTTTCTATTTCCTCACTATCAAATCTCCTCCGTCCTCAACCGAGTCCAGCGCCGCCGCCTCCTCTTCAATCGGTAACATTCTCTCTCTCTCTCCCTCTCTAAAAATTTTGCCATGTTTGGTTTTCTGCTGTTTAGTTGAGATCTAAGCAACTAATTTTTGTCTTTTAAGTTTAAGTAGAAGTTTCTATTCATTTTTTATTATTTTCTCTAATTGGGTATATTTGTTTGGATGTTAATTAGATTGTCAAGGGCCAAAATCGGAGTCGTCTGACAAATACAACACAAATGAAGGTTCCCAAATCAATAAAGTAATTTTAAGTATTTTTTGTATATTTTGTGCTAATATTTGTTGGGTTGATAGAATTTTAACTATTTATCTTTTTATTTTAAATATTTATCTATTTGATAACAATGTATAGAAATATGCATGCTTGCGTCTTTTCTCACACTAATTACAAGCTTAATTACAATTGTTACAGAGACTCAATTTCAAATTTTAGTTCTTGAATGTGTAGTTATTCATAGAAAGTTCATGAAGACGCTGCCCAAGACCTTATCTTATGAAGGTATTTTACAATTGAGAATTAACAAAAATTTTTTTCGCCCTTTAATTTTGCTTCTAATGGTTAAGTTAATAGTGGATCCTGAAGCAAAGCTTTGGCATGTAATGTGAGATATTTTGAATTTTTAAAAATTTTTAATTTTATTTCAAGTGAATTTTAAAGCTTTGGGATTTATGGTAAAATTAGGATGATGCTTTTACTTTATGGTAAAATTAGGATGATGCTTTTTCTTTGTAATTATAGTGATTAATGTTTACGGAATTATGGTATTATGACTCACATTTCACAGTACATGTTTTTTTTTTCTTTCCAGAATAGAGAAACCTTATATGAATATGGAAAAAGTCATGAGAATATGCCTCTTATCAACTTTATCTATGTTAATTTTGCTAATTATTTACATGATTTTCATGTACCTTGCTGAGTTCAAAACTGGTGCTGAGAGGAAAGACGCTGCTAAGAACACACTCTTGGCCTACAAATCTGCTCAGGTCAATAGTTTACTACATATCGAAGATATTCCTACTTTTACTGTCATCGACCATCTATCATCCCATAATTGACCAATGTATCTTATTTGTTATTTTTGACCATATATAACTCTTCCTTCAACATCCACCTTAGGATTGGTCATCTTCATTTGATGTTCTCAAGGAGCATATCTATATCTATATGCATTGTCACCATTTATCTAATATGTCTTTCTTCTTTAAACCAAGTTTTTCTCTCGCATTTTCGTGACAATTTACTGTTTATGTTGTACGTTTATAAATGACAAAGAATTCGAACTTCAGCTATATATTTGCTTCACATTGTGGAGTTATCATTGTGCATCATGATTTTCTTGGGTGTTATGCACTCCAGACAGTATGGTGGGTGTAGAATAATTGCATTATGTTAATTTTTTATCCCATAAGATTAGCTGTACTTCTATTATCAGCTTAAAAATGAGTTTTTTTTTATGTATAGGACATTGCTGTGGGTTGTCTCCAACTCATCCGATCAGACTTGGTTTGGCGCTCAATGTTTCAGTGTTCTACTATGAGATTCTGAACTCACCTGATCGTGCTTGTGCTCTTGCAAAGCAGGTATATTTTTGTTTTGCATTGAACTCACCTGATCGTGCTTGTGCTCTTGCAAATCAGGTAGATCTTTGCAAAGCAGGTATAATTTATTTGTAATACAATTCATTTTTGCATTGACTCAAGCGTTCTGTTGCTCTAATCATTAGATTTTCTATGATATAATTACATGTATTGACATGCATTTTGAATCTGATATTCAAGTTTTAGTGGTGTATGATCCTGGTACACTCTCGATTACTAATTTTTTTGGCATGCCTTGAAAAGTTGTGTAGTTCAAACATAGATTTTTCATAGATTAATTGAATATCAGATTTTCTGTAAATATTGAGACCCGTGCATATTTATGTTCTCTTACTTTTGTTCCAGTTGTTTCCTGATGAATGTAAATACTATGTTATCTGTCTGTTTCTTCTTGGTACTAAAACATTTTGCGATATTTCAGATTGTTAAAGTGTGGGTGAAGCAACTGACTCGACATAGAGGGTATACTGATCAGATGGTTGAGGAGGCCAATGCTGTTATTTTTACATTTGGTTCTTATCGCTTAGGAGTAAGTTGAAATATTACTTTCTGAGAAACATAATCTATTTTTAAATTTGAAGAAGCAAATTGTTTCTGATGCCTATATTGGATGGACTAAATACTTGGAAATTCATGTTCAATGTTTGAAGGAGCAAATTGTACCCGTCTTCGATTCTCTTTACACATGTTCAATATTTGTAAAAATTCTTGTAGAAACCGTGCTTTGCGCGGGTCTAAATACTAGTATTAAGTAAAAACAAGAGAGAGATATTACCGAACAACCCACAATGTACAATTCTTTTTTTCCTTTTTCCCACAATTGCCCTGAATCCAAAGCCACGACTGCTTCCTGTAGACAGGGGGGAGAACAATAAAAACCCTAAATTACTCGTTGATCTCAAAACAAAAAGGAGACAGGGCATAACCAATGAATGAAAATTTCCACATTGACTATAAAATTTCACTAAAAAAAGATGAGAAAGGGGGCCTTGACGGAGATACATATCTAATAACTTCACACTGTACAATTCTTCTCTTTGGCGGCGAACATAAACCTAAATGTGAGGAAATGAGACTGTAATTACACTCTCCTCAACAGTAGAACTAAATGGCCAACGAAAGAGTGAAAAATTGACGTTGGTGAAGTTAAGCAGCTTCTCCATGATTGATCCCAGGTAAACGAAAGAGAAACAAATAAAATCAGATAAACAAAAAAATCACACATAAAAAAAAAATTCCACAATGACCACAAGGGACGGGTAGAGATTACCAAATGCCATCCAAGTGTAGGGGCTGTTTGGATGCCTTTATTTATGACACAAAATAGAAAATAGAAAATGATTATCCACCTCATCACTTTCCATTCGAGTATTTACATTGTTTGGTTAGAAATCTTTGTGAATCCTAAAATAATAGTATTACATTGTTTGGATAGTATAATGTAAACTAGAGTATTTATGACACAAAATGGAAAGTGGTTATCCACCTCACCACTTTCTACAAGGTTTTGACTTTATTATTATTATTTTGGACACATTTATGACATTGTGTCAGCTTTCCAACAAAATCACTCATAATTTTTGTGATTTTGCTTTCGGTGACACCTCATCAAAAGGTGTAAGCTTTTCATGTAAAAGAGAATTTAAACAAACAATGTGAAGTGATGAAAGCTGACATTGGGACCCACTTTTTTACTCTTTCCATCCTTTTACATGGTAAAAACATACAACCAAACAGCTCTGTAGGAGCACTCTCAAATTTGAGCTGAATCTAGGCCTGCGACAGACAGGGGGAGAGAAAACCCTAAGTGGCTGTTTGGATGCCTTTAGGAAACTAGAGTATTTATGACACAAAATAGAAAGTGGTTATCCACCTCAACACTTTCCATTCGAGTGTTTACATTGTTTGGTTAGGAATCTTTGTGAATCCTAAAATAATAGTATTACATTGTTTGGATAGTATAATGTAAACTAGAGTATTTATGACACAAAATAGAAAGTGGTTATCCACCTCACCACTTTCTACAAGGTTTTGACTTTATTATTATTATTTTGGACACATTTATGACATTGTGTCAGCTTTCCAACAAAATCACTCCTAATTTTTGTGATTTTGCTTTCGGTGACACCTCATCAAAAGGTGTAAGCTTTTCATGTAAAAGAGAATTTAAACAAACAATGTAAAGTGATGAAAGCTAACATTGGGACCCACTTTTTAATACTTTCCATCCTTTTACATGGTAAAAACATACAACCAAACAGCCCCTAATCCGAATGAGAGAATGAAACTCAAATATAATTCTAATCAAAGTTAAGAGAGCACTGATCTTTTGGATATATTATAGAGCGTCTGAGCTTTTTTGCCGTTTTTGCTTTTTTATTCAAAAAAAAATACTCGTTTCACAACGAAACATTTTTTTTAATTGTCCCCTTACAAAATCTAAAAATTAAATATTTTTCTCAAAACATCAAAAATGTATTTTAAGATTCCGTTTTTTCATCTAAGTCGTCGCCG